TTTTTTTTTTTTTCCCTTCCCCTCCCCCATGGGTTTCTGTTAAGTTTCTCAGGATCCACCTAAGAGTGAAAACATATGGTATCTGTCTTTCTCTGTATGGCTTATTTCACTTAGCATAACACTCTCCAGTTCCATCCATGTTGCTACAAAGGGCCATATTTCATTCTTTCTCATTGCCACGTAGTATTCCATTGTGTATATAAACCACAATTTCTTTATCCATTCATCAGTTGATGGACATTTAGGCTCTTTCCATAATTTGGCTGTTGTTGAGAGTGCTGCTATAAACATTGGGGTACAAGTGCCCTTATGCATCAGTACTCCTGTATCCCTTGGGTAAATTCCTAGCAGTGCTATTGCTGGGTCATAGGGTAGGTCTATTTTTAATTTTTTGAGGAACCTCCACACTTTTCCAGAGTGGCTGCACCAATTTGCATTCCCACCAACAGTGCAAGAGGGTTCCCATTTCTCCACATCCTCAAAAATATGGAACGCTTCACGAATTTGCGTGTCATCCTTGCACAGGGGCCATGCTAATCTTCTCTGTATCGTTCCAATTTTAGTATATGTGCTGCCGAAGCAGGCACAGCAGTTTTGTTACAAATATGTATCACTAAACATTCTTGTAGGATTTACACAAATGAGATTATGCATATAGTTGTCAGTAGTTCCCATGAATCTCATTACACTGAAACTTTCCAAGTTGGTATTATTCATAACTAATAGTTTGTGTTCCTAATATTGACGATGTGAAATTATTTCCAGACTTGAAAATGATAAATTGTTTTGCAGGGTACAACATTTGATGTGTCTTCATAAATCATTTCCAGTAGCTGTCTGGTTCAATGATTTACCCTCCTGGGGTGCTGTAAGAGATGATCTGTGGCCCTGGCCATTCTTTGCACTACCTAAGTGTGCTTTCAGGCGACCTGGGACTTAATTCTACAAGAGTATCCAATAATGATGTCAACATAATGTATCTGCTCTAAAACTACATTAGATTTGCCATTGTGATGCTTTAGTTGGAGGTCTACACACTTGTTTTTATACATCTAACCTTTAACCTGACTCATCTCATCCTTGTCAAGCTCTGAGACAGAAAAGCAATGGCTAGGTACTCATTAGGACCATCATGTCCTAACATCGATACTGCCACAGTAAAGAACATCCTATATATAGCCACAATTTTTCCTATCCATGCTAATAAACCCATTTCCAGCTTGGAAAGATCATTTATAGAATTATTAGGGCCTAAACAGTCAAAAGTACTAATCTGTTCAAGCCATTACAGAGGTTCTAAATTTTGGGGTTATCCATTTGGACTACCAAAAAAAGTAGAACTAAGCAGAAAGTACTTCATTCCATGAGAGATGTGTTAAATAACAAAATTATTCCAGTATATGGCCTCAAATGTTAGTAGTTTTTATAAAAAGTTAGATGGGAGTCAGGAAGGTTGTAAGTAAAATGTTTATGGCTCCTGATGAGAATGAAAAAGTCTTACTGGACCATTCCTGCATATAAGATGCCAAACAGATGGCAAGTACAAATGAGAATTCACAATGAAATATTTTGATTTCTAGGTACAACAGAGCCTATGAGTTGAAGATGAACGTTGTGATGTTTTCCAAAAACATCTGAGGATGGCTGTGATAAAACCACTAGGAGCACAACTGCATGTAATAAGGTACCAAAACTTAATGTTAAACACTGTGCTTTGTTATGTATTTATGGTACTGCCTATGAAAAGCAGTACCAAAAACATTTAGTAGGTTTTTGACCTAGATAGGTTTAGTAACTGGCACAATGATGACTTCAATTACTTTTTGCCGTTTACCCAGCTGAGGGTTTCTTTGAAGAAATAATTTGAAGACTGAGATGCCAGTTATGTATATTGTTTATGTGAATTACTCAAGTATAATGCAATTTTTCATTAAAATGGGTTATATGTTCTTTTCAGCATGTAGGTAGCCGCAGATGAGTGTCCAAGTCCATAACTGTTGTGGTTAAAAATTCTTCATTGCCTCGGTAAGTAATTCTGGCAATCACAGCTAATAATAATTCAAAAGTATCTGAAACTCCAAAGGCTTAGGGCCATATCCTGTTAAGTTGCCTGTGTGTGTGTTGTCAGAAGTCTGATTCTCCTTTGATTTTGACTATGGAGTGATTTTCATTGTTGGTTTCTGATTTTTTTCCCCAGAGGCATGCAGTTGGAAGGAAAAATGAAGAATTGGTCAAGAAGACATGAATAAATACTTTATTTAACATTGATCACCTCACAATAAGTTATGGTAGAGAAATACATGCTTGAATACTTTTAACTGTTGGGCAGTAAAGTCTGCTATCTTTAAAATATATCAAGTGTTTAAACATCTCCAGTTCCATAATTACTAGTCAGATTTGTTTTTAGCATACTTTAAGAAAGTATGTTCTTTATCAATAAATAAGTATTTGGAATCTCCTAAACACCTTAACGAATTATCCCTTACAAATAAAGATTTCACCTGTGACCTACATAGTTTAAGTTTTAATCTTATTCTTTGCTTTTGCCTTTGAACAAAAAAAATTGTGATCTTAGTACAAACAATAACATGTCATATTAAGGGAAATAGTGACTGGACAGTCCATTCCAACCAGGACTTAGAATTTATAGGAATTCTAAAGCTGAATTCTTAACTGAAGACTTGAACTTAGCTAAATCTTGCTTTTCCCCTGTTGAGTGCTTTTATCTAGGTTATAATTTCATTATGGCAAGTCTAGAATTCTAGAACTGTAATATGTAAATTGTTTTTAAAAACTGGCTTTGCTGACTCCATTTCGGCTCAGGTCATGAAATGGAGCCCAGCCCCATGTCCACACTGAGCATGAAGCCTGCTTGGGATTCTCTCCCACACTCTCAAAAAATACATAAAAGCTTAAAAGACAAAAACAAAAAAAACTAGCTTTGCATTCTGAAAAAGTAACACAAGTCTCTGAAACTAGTGAATATTCAGTAAATACTGTTGAATGAGCAGGAATGATTTGTCAAAGGCCTATAGAGAGCTGTCAACCTTTATGGTTTAGCTCCATAAAGTGCCAGTTTCTAAAGAATCGGCATGGTAGTATCTTATTTTTTTTATAATTAACTTATTGGGACACCTGGGTGGCTCAACTGCTTTAAGTGTCCAACTTTGGCTCAGGTCAGGATCTCCTGGTTGATATATTCAGGCCCCATTTGGGCCTTGGAGTCTGCTCCAGATTTTGGGTCTCCTTTCTCTGGCCCTCCCTCACTCACACTGTTCTCTCAAAAACATTTTAAAAATTAACATATTAAACCTTTGAAAAATGAAAAGGATTTGGGGATTTTACAAGTTAAATATATTTTCTCTTTCCCCACACACACCTTTTCAGAATAGATCTCTTCCCTCCAAAAATGAAGATGGTTTGCAAATTGGGTTTGCCTTTTGGTGCCTTTCTTGTAACCAGTTAGGTTCAAGGAGCCAATTCTTACCCCTTGATTTGTTATAAATTACTTTTTTTCATTTAACCTGGCTTTAAAAAATGGAAAATTTCCAAGCTTTCCCTGAATTCATAATTAGGGCTTCCAAAACTATATAATGGGCATAAAAAGTAATGAAGTAGGAAATGTCCTTAAATTGGAGGCTTCTGCTTCTTTATGTTGCTGTTATTTACTCCATTTGTCAGGTTCACAGGTGCAAGAAAAATGATTTATTTTTAGGTAAATATTCTCATTTAAACTGTTCTTGCCATCTTGTGACAAGTAGAACTACATAAAAGTGACCGTTTTTAAACATTGCTTAGTTTCCAGATTCTTATTTTTTTAATGTTTATTCTTTGAGAGAATGAGCAGGGGAGGGGCAGAGAGGGAGACACAGAATCTGAAGCAAGCTCTGAACTGTCAGCACAGAGCCCAATGCGGGGCCAGAACCCACGAACCGTGAGAACATGACCTGAGCTGAAGTCGGACGCTTAACCAACTGGACCACCCAGGTCCCCCGACCAGATTTTTAATAATGAGACCTTTTATATTTTTAAGATAGCCTTCTAATGTACTACCATACATAGTATTACCTGAAGCATTACTTCAGAATCACACCTTTCCACTGCTTAAATATGAGTGAAGAAAATGATTTTCCTCAGATTGCCTATTCATCACTCGTGAAAATAGCTGTCCCAGGTCCATATGTGGCAATAAACTGTTGGAGCTGCTGTTGGCATTGATTCAAATAGATATCCCTTTGCTCCAAATATTCTTCATTATACAATTCAAATGGAAATACTGCATTTGGAGCAACACAAAATACAGTGGCCCCTAAGGAAAAAAGTGTAAATGAGAAGTCCTTAAAATGCTAAATGTGAAATCACATTTTCAGCAAAATAGTATGAGTTTGTTTTGTTTTATAGAGTGCAAGCTGGGGAAAGGGGCAGAGGGAGAGAGAATCCCAACCGTGCTCTACACTCTGCACAGAGCCTGCTGTGGGTCTTGAGCCCACGACCCTGGGATCATGACCTGAGCTGAAATGCAGAATCAGATGATTGGGGCACCTGTGGGATTCAGTTGGTTAAGCATCTGACTCTTCATCTTGGCTCAGGTCATGATCTCATGGTTTATGGAATTGAGCCCCACGTCAGGCTCTGCGCTGACAGCACTGAGCCTGCTTGGGATTCGCTCTCTGCCCCTCCCCCACTCTCTCAAATAAACAAACTTTAAAAAAGTAAGATGCTCAATCTACTGAGCCACCCAGGTCCCCCCAATAAGAGTTTTTAAGTTCTGACCTATTTAATAGAATATTTCAATAATCATTTAAAACTGATCTGTTTTTGAGACTCATGAAATAGTTTCAGTATATACACAGACTTACCAGAGCCAAGAAAAAATACTACGTTTTAAAACATGGAAACTAGAGGGGCACATGGGTGGCTTGGTTTAGCGTCCAGCCTTGGTTCAGGTCACGATCTCACAGTTAATGAGTTCGAGCCCAGTGTTGGGGTCACTGCTGTCGGTGCAGAGCCCACTTAAAATCCTGTCCCCTCCACCCTCTCTGCCCCTCCCCAGCTCCTATTCTCTCTCAAAAATAACATTTTTTTAAGTGTAGAAACTATGTTAGCTGTTGACCTAGTCATTTAGAGTTTTGAACCTGAATAGTGCTGTTAGGAGGTGGAAGAAGTAGGGAGAGAAGGTATTAGAGGTAGGGAAACACTTTGATAAAGGTTATGCGGATGACTGAGGATAAAGACACCATTGTAATCTCAATTATTCAGAACCACTGACAAAAAGACATAAACCTATGGAATTGAATAGCCTGGAAATAACCCCTCAAATACATGGTTAAATGATTTATGCTTTAAGAGTGCCAAGACCAATGGGGAAAGGACAGTTTCCAACAAATGGTACTGAAAAAACAATACCCATAAGAAAAAAAAATGAAGTTGGTCCCTTATAGACCTAAGCATAAGAACTAAGAAAAACAAAAAATTGGGGAAATGCTTCATGACATTGGATTTGGCAGTGATTTCTAGAATTTATGTAACACTAGATTTCTAGTGTTATAACACTAAAGCACAGGCAACAAAAGGAAATAGATAAGTTAAACCACATCAGAATAAACTGGTGCGTCAAATACTACAATGAAGAGTGAAAAGGCAACCCATGGAATGGGAGAAAATACTTGCAAATTGTATCTGATACAGGATCTACAACTGAACAAGAAAATAACCCAATTCAAAAATCGGCAAAGGAGAAACGGACATTTCTCCAAAGAAGATAGGCACATGAATGATGGTCAACATCACTAATCACTAGGTAAATGGTGTGAAATACCATCTTACACCCATAAGGATGGCTACTATCAAGCAAATGTTGGCAAGGATATGAAGAAAATGTACCCTTGTGCACTGTTGGTGAGAATGTAAAATGGTGCAACCCTTATGGAAAACAGTAGCAGTTTATTCAAAAAATCACATGATCCAGGGATTTCATTTATGGACACATACCCAAAATAATTTAAAACAAGGTCTCAAAGAGGTAAGTAAGCATATACTCATGTTCATAGCATTATTCACAATAGCCAAAGGTGCAAGCAATCTAAGGTCCATTGTTGGGTGAATGAATAAACAAAATGGTGTGTGTGGTGTGTGTGTGTGTGTACGTGTGTACACATACATACAATGGAATAGAATATTCAATCTTGAACAAGAAGGAAATTCTAATGCATACTACCACATCAATAAACCTTTGGGGACATTATATGAAGTGAAGTGAGCCATAAGATAAACACATATGATTAGACTTAGATACATGGAGAAGTCAAATTTATAAAAATAGAAAGAATGGTGGTTGCCAGGGACTGGAGGAAGGAAGGAGAGATTGGGGAGTTATTGTTTAATGGGTACAGAAAAAAATGAAAGGTTTATAGAGATGGATGGTGGCAACAGTGTGAACGTATTTAACACCACTGAACTATACACTTAAAAATCGTTAAGATGGTAAATGTTATGTATATTTTACCACAACTTAAACTTTTTGACTACCACTTTAGGAGTTAAGCTCTTAAATTCTGTTTCATTGTTGATTCATTGAATGAGTACATACATGTGACTGGCCAGGAGTACAGTTGCTAGCCAAGCAGACAGTGCCTACCTTCCTAGAGCCGTCTGTTATCAGTATGCACTTAACATAGTCTCAGACTGCCGTGACTGCTCCCTTTACCATTCCCTGTATCTTACCTGAATCCTTACTGTTCCTTGAGAACACTGCTTTCCCTGTGGCTCTCTAAAGTGAAGCTGCTTTTTCTCAAAACACCACTCATACCTTAGTAACACAAGACAGAGACAGTGACTAACTTGCTGCCCCTTTGCTGCTACCAGACCATTCTTGTCCCTGCTTTCCTCTTAATAAAAATCTCTCTGCTGATGCCCAGTGCCATTTGGGCTTACTACTCTTTCTCTTCCTTGGTGAAGTCAACCAGTTCTCAGCACGTGGCTCACAATATTCCTCTATTCCCTAATACCTGCCATTCAGTGATTTCCATGTGAATGACCCTCTTAATTCCAGACCTCTCTGGAGTTTTTCCTCTACCTCAACCACACATAGGAAAATCACAGGAAACTGACATTACCAAAAACTTACTTCAAAGCCATTAGTTCAAATCCCCCTTCCCTCTTATACTTCCAGCTTCTATCCCAAGACCTCCAAGTGGCTTCCTTCAATTCACTTCCTTCTTTTAACCTATTTAAGAATCTATCCCAAGCCAGTGTCCCCACTCCCTTACCCCTCTGCAACACTCTATCACAGTCGCCTATAAAAACCTCAACTCTGCATGAACCCAACAATTTACTTTATGCCTGCACTCAGGCTGCTAGGCAGAAAATCACATAATTGGCATCTCTTGGTTTCACTTTAAATGAATCACAGAAACCTCAAATGGATGCCCACTGCCTGCCAGACAACCCTGCTGAGTCTAAGACAAATGTTCTTCTGCCTCCTGCCCCCATGACTATGATATTCCATTCTTCTCTCCTCAAACCTTTTGCTTTTAGCTGATGACCTTGTGTAGAGTGTATGATCAAATGGATACAGACCTGATTCTGTTTCCATTTGTCTTCCCTCCTATATAATGAAGTGACTTCTTTCATTAGAAACCAATATCTTCACATGTGCTCTGGATCCCATCCCCTCTCACCTTTTTAAGGATTTTATTGCTTTGATCTTCCCCTAATTCTGTAAAATCTAATCTTAAACTGTCTTGTTTCTATAACTACACTTGATTTTCTTACTACATTGTAGCTGCAGCTTCTCATTCTCCTCTGTTTGTTCCCCCTCCTCAACCCCATTTCTAAATATTGGAATTCTTCAAAGGCAGTCCTGGAGTTCTCTGTATAATCTCAATCTAGGTAATTTCAGGTAATTTCATCCATTCCATGGCTATGAGTACCATCTTTGGGCTGATGGTTCCCAAATTAAATTTCTAAATTAGAACCCTCACCTAAACTCCAGATTCTTGTATCAATCTAAAGGTATCTCTGTAGGATGTCTCAGACATATCTATTTATAATTTGGTTTTTCTCCCAACCCTTTTTCTCTTTGTTCCCAGTTGTGGTAAATGGCATCATGGTCCACTCAGTTGCTCAAGGCAGAAAATTGGGAGTTTTCTTTAATTCTTCCCTATGCCCTCTGCCCCAACTTCTAAATCTAGTTCATGAGCACAACCTATTGTTTTTTGCATCCAAGAAAAATGTCCCTGAGTAGGGATCAATTTCTTGCTATGTTTTTTTCTTCTTTTTTTTCTTGTTTCCAATTTCCTGCTGTAACTGAAATAACACTTAAGGAGCTCTTTTTTTTTTTTTTTTTTTTTTTTTAGCGTTTATTTATTTTTGAGAGAGACAGAGACAGAGACAGAGCATGAGCAAGGGAGGGGCAAAGAGAAAGGGAGACAGAATCTAAAGCAGGTTCCAGGCTCTGAGCTGTCAACACAGTGCCCCACGTGGGGCTGGAACCCACAAACTGCGAGATCATGACCTGAGCTGAAGTCAGATGCTTAACTGACTGAGCCACCCAGGTGCTCCAACATTTAAGGATCTCTTAATATTGTTTTGTTTAAGACTTAAAAATCAAGATACCTAACTGAAATTCATTATGAAAATAAAAAATAACTAAAGGAAAAAAAATCTTCATTTAGTTTTATATTCCCCAACAGATGCTTTCTTAAATACTTCACGAAAGTCTTGACAAAATAGTTACCAAGTGAAAATAGCCATATTCTACCATAGGGGTCCTTAATAATAAATAGTATAGTTTCTAAATTCAAAGACACAAATTTTTGTCTTCTTATTGAAATCTAATTATATTTTAATTTTGATAGCATGTCATAATAAAATTGGCAGAATTTTTTTGTTATGGTACATAAAAAATGTGTGTTAGATTTTATCAAGTATGCTTTTAAATACAAATAATAAGAATGTAAAAAATATGGGCGCCTAGCAGCCTCAGTCGGTAGAGTATGTGATTCTTGAACTCTGGGTGTAAGTTTGAGCCCCATATTGGGTGTAGAGATTACTTTAAAAAATAAAACCTGATTACTTTTAAAAAATAAAATCTGGTGGATATGCAAGCTGGTGTAGCCACTCTGGGAAACAGTATGGAGGTTCCTCAAAAAACTAAAAATAGAACTACCCTACGACACAGCAATTGTACTACTAGGCATTTATCCACAGGATACAGGTGTGCTGTTTTGAAAGGACACATGCACCCCATGTTTATAGAAGCACTATCAACAATAGCCAAAGGATGGAAAGAGTCCAAATGTCCATCGATGGATGAATGGATAAAGAAGATATGGTATATATATATATACATACATATATATATATATACATATATATATATATATATATATATATATGTATATACATACACAGTGGAGTATTACTCGGCAATCAAAAAGAATAAAACCTTGCCATTTCCAACTATGTGGATGGAACTGGAAGGTATTATGCTAAGTGAAATTAGAGAAAGACAAAAATCATATGACTTCACTCATATGGGGACTTTAAGAGCAAAACAGATGAACATAAGGGAAGGGAAACAAAAATAATATAAAAACAGGGAGAGGGACAAAACAGAAGAGACTCATAAATATGGGGAACAAACTGAGGATTACTGGAGGGGGTGTAGGAGGGGGGATGGGCTACGTGGGTAAGGAGCATTAAGGAATCTCCTGAAATCATTGTTGTACTGTATGCTAATTTGGATATAAATTTTAAAAAATAAAAAATAAAATTAAAAAAAAAATCTGGGGTGCCTACGTGGCTCAGTCAGTGTCCAACTTTGGCTCAGGTCATGATCTCTTGGTTCATGAATTCAAGCTCCACAACAGGCTCTCTCCTTTCAGCGGGGAGCTCGCTTCAGATCTTCTGTCCCCTCTCTGCCCCTCCCCACCCATCAAAAATAAACATTTAAAAAAATAAAAAATAAAAACAATAAAATCTCTAAAAAAGGAAGCCTGTAAAAGATAAAGCAAATTAAAAATAAAAATATTTTTGTATCCTTCCTGTTATTTAGTATTGGTTGGGAATCAATGTCTTTCTCCTTTGGTACATAAAACTAACATGGGATGGTAACTAACTTTTTCTGGGGATCATGAACCTATAAGACATACTTTATAAAACTTACCATTCATCTCTCTAAGCAAAAAGGTGTCAAGCACATACATGTAAATATTTTCATATAATTTAGAGATTCACAAGTCCCAAGAACTCTAAGTATCCATGAATCCCAGGTTAATAATGTTTGATTTTGACAATTATAGAACAAAGTTCTAATGTTCTAATGAGTTTTTGTGAACCGTTATTACTGTATAAATTGAATTTAAGGAAAATTTAAGCACTGAATATATACACACAAAAAAGTCAGTGTTAATACATCCTTTAAGTCCCAAGGTTGGAGCCAGAGTTTGGCTTCAAGGATTGTAGTATCTTATGAAAATTAATGTCTGATCCAATTCGGCAAGAGCTTTGTGAGAATAACTCTGTTTACTCTTACTTTAGGAGCCCTTTTATGTTTTTATTAGCAAAACCATAATAAGCTCAAATTCATTTCAAATAATGAAATGCTATAGTCATAGTATTATAGCTAGCAATTCAGGAAGGCAGTGATACAAAATGAACACATTTTCTTTGTCTCTGTGCTTAACTGCATTGAGGGGACTGCTTGACAATTGAATGCTGCTTGTTATTTTATTTATTTTATGTTTATTTATTTATTTTGAGAAAGAGAGAGAGAGAGAACATGAGGGGAAGGGGAAGAAAGAGAGGGAGAGAGAGAATGCCAAGCAGGCTCAATGCTGTCAGTGTAGAGCCCCATGGCAGGGCTTGATTTCACCAACTGTGAGATTATGACCTAAGCCAAAATCAAGAGTTGGATGATTAACTGACTGAGCCACCCAGGTGTTCCTGTTGCATGTTATTGAAGAAGGAAGATAAATTTATGGGGTACCTGGTGGCTCAGTTGGTTAAGCATCCGACTTTGGCTCAGGTCATAATCTCATGGTTCATGGGTTTGAGCCCTGCATTGGGCTCTGTGCTGACAGCTTTGAGCCTGGAGCCTGCTTCAAATTCTGTGTCTCTCTCACTCTCTGCTCCTCCCACACTTGCGTTCTGTCTCTCTCTCTCAAAAATAAATAAACATTAAAAAAAAAGTTTAAGTAAAAGAAAGATAAATTTAGAATCACTTCATGTTGTATTTAATACATGTTTTATCAGAACTCTATAAGCAATGCAAAAGTTTCAGAATCCAAGCAATCATGCATAACAAGGAACGTGTTATATTACCTATAAAGAATTAGTAAGTGTTCAAATTGAAACAGGCCTTACATGACAAAAATTTATTATTCTAGGGCACCTGGGTGGCTCACTTGGCTCAGTGGGTGCTACATTTCAGCCCAGGTTATGATCTCAAGGTTTGTGGGATTGGGTCCCGCATCAGACTGTGTGCTGACAGTGTACAGCCTGCTTGGGACTGTCTCTCTGCCCCTTCCTCATTCATGCCTGTGCTCACTCTCTCTCCTCTCAAAAATAAATAAATAAATAAACTTTAAAAAATTTACTAATTTTTAAAATAATAATTAATATATACATAATATTTTAGCAATCCCTATCAAAATAACACCAGCATTCTTCACAGAGCTAGAACAAATAATCCTAAAATGTGTATGGAACCAGAAAGACCCTGAATTGCCTAAGCAATCCTGAAAAAGAAAACCAAAGCTGGAGGCATCACAACTGTGGACTTCAAGCTGTATTACAAAGCTGCAATCAACAAAACCATATGCTAATGGCACAAAAACAGACATATAAATCTATGGAACAGAATAGAGAACCCAGAAATGGACCCACAAACATATGGCCAACTAATGTTTGATAAAGCAGGAAAGAATATCCAATGGAATAAAGACTGTCTCTTCCACAAATGGTGTTAGGAAAGCTGGACTGTGACATGCAGAAGAATAAACCTGGACCACTTTCTTACACCACACACAAAGACAAACTCAAAATGGATGAAAGTCATAAATGTAAGACAGGAAGCCATCAAAATCCTCGAGGAGAAAGCAGGCAAAAACCTCTTTGACCTCGGCCGCAACAACTTTTTACTTGACATGTCTCCGGAGGCAAGGGAAACAAAAGCAAAAATGAGCTACTGGGACCTCATCAAGATAAAAAGCTTCTGCACTGCAAAGGAAATAATCAGCAAAACTAAAAGGCAACCAACGGAATGGGAGAAGATATTTGCAAATGACATATCAGATAAAGGGTTAGTATCCAAAATCTATAAAGAACTTCTCAAACCCTACACCCAAAAAACAAATAATCCAGTGAAGAAATGGGCAAAAGACATTAATAGACACTCTTCCAAAGAAGACATCCAGATGGCTAACAGACACATGAAAAAATGCTCAACATCACTCCTTATCAAGGAAATACAAATCAAAACTACAATGAGATACCACCTCACACGTGTCAGAATGGCTAACATTAACAACTCAGGCAATGATAGATGTTGGCGAGGATGTGGAGAAAGGGGAACCCTTTGCACTGTTGGTGGGAATGCAAACTGGTACAGCCACTCTGGAAAACACTATGGAGTTCCACAAAAAACTAAAAATAGAACTACCCTACAACCTAGCGATTGCACTACTAGGTATTTATCCAAAGGATACAGGTGTGCTGTTTCAAAGGGGCACACGCACCCCACTATATATAGCAATAATATTATTTATAGTTATCAACAATAGCCAAAGCATGGAAAGAGCCCAAATGTCCATTGACTGATGAATGGATAAAGATGTGGTGTATATATATATATGCATACAATGGAATATTACTAGGCAATCAAAAAGAATGAAATCTTGCCAGTTGCAACAACATGGATGGAACTAGAGTGTATTATGCTAAGTGAAATATAAGTCAGAGAAAGACAAATATATGATTTCATTCATATGTGGAATTTAAGATCCAAAACAGATGAACATAAGGGAAGGGAAGCAAAAATAATATAAAAACAGGGAGACAAAGAGACATTAAGAGATTCCTAAATACAGAGAACAAACTGAGGGTTTCTGGCAGGGTGTTGAGTAGGGAGCTGGGCTAAATGCACAAAGGGCATTAAGGAGGACATTTTTGGGATGAGCACTGGGTGTTATATGTAAGTGATGAGTCACTAAATTCTATTCCTAAAATCATTATTACACTATATGTTAACTAATTTGGATTTAAATTAAAAAAAAAATTAAAAAATTTAAAAATATCTATAACATTTTATGTTATAAATGCTATAAAATTTATAAAATTTTATAGATATTTTAACAGTCTAAGAATATTTAAATATAATTATTTATAGTGATCATTAACAAATTAATAATAGATTACCATATTTCAGTGTGAGAGATGTTTCAAACAATAAGGCTGCAATTAGTACATCTTCTTTAAGCACTCTATTCCTTAAGTTCAGTCGAGCATGCGCTTCAGCTAGGGAAACTCTGAGAAAGAAAATTGATGCTAATCAAATATGTTGATATTATAAAGATAAAACATATTTTGGCGGGAATAAACCAAGTTATATGTGTATACAAGCCATGCATTAAAGATCAGCATATTTTTACTTTAAAAAAAATGTTAGTTTATTTTCAAAGCATTTTTTTCCTACCAACTTCAATAAACTATGCCAGAACAAGCAAGTATCTTGACTTATTATCAGACTTCATATCTGCTCTGGCTTATCTTCATTTTTATGATTCTATACCCCCTTCCTCAATATATAGTTAGGAAAACTAACTCTTATAGTCACCTTTGGTGTTTTCTTCCAGTTCTTCATCTATTTGAAGTCCTCACAGAATCTTGAAATTTTAGTTTTGAAAGAGACCTTAAAGTTCAATCTCCAATCAGATAATTAAATTTTCTCCACAATATTCCAGGCTACTTATTGTCCAGTTTCTTTCGAACATTTCCTATGGTTCACTGGGAATACATTCCTTTATCTTTTATTTTTAAACTAACCTTTGATTACCTAAAAAATCTCCCTCAGGGGCGCCTACATGGCTCAGTTAGGTAAACATCCAACTCTTGATTTCAGCTCAGGTCATGATCTCATGGTTTGGGAGTTCGAGCCCCACATAGGGCTCTGCACTGACAGCACGGAGCCTGCTTGGGATTCTCTCTCTCCTCTGTCTCTCTGCCACTCCCTAGCTTTCTCTCCCTCTCAAAAATAAATAAACATTTAAAATTGGAAAAAAAAAATCTCTTTCAAGCTCTCATTAGGCATATGTATTGTACATGAATGACTGCTGAACTTGGAAATCAGAAAACCTGGTCTAAGTCTCTAGACTTTACTAGCTGTGTGACTTCATATAAATCATTCACTTCCCGAAAATTTTTTGAATCACAGGTATAAAATGGGGACAATAATAACTTACAGTTATTACGATTTCAGATAAAGCATTTGAAAATTTTGGGACTCACCCACAAAGAATATATAAATTTAAGCTGAAATTGGTTTCACTGAAATTTATACCCACTGGTTCTGTCTTCTGTGATTATAAAAAAAGCTTAATACTTCTTAAATATGACATCTCTTCAAATATTCAAAGACAACTTTTCTAGTTGTCCTATGTTTTCTTTTCTCCAAAATAAAATATTCCTAGCTCCTTTAATATGTCATAAGACATGGGGCACCTGGGTGGCTCAGTCATTTAAGCGTCTGAGTTTTAGTTTCGGCTCAGGTCATGATCTCATGGTTTGTGGGTTCAAGCCCCGTGTCAGGCTCTGCACTGACAGTGTACAGCTTGCTTGGGATTCTCTGTCTTCCTTTCTCTCTGACCCTTCCCATGTCATGCTGTCTCTGTCTCTCTCAAAATAAATAAAATTTTTAAAAAGGTAAAAAAAATGTCATAAGACAATTTTCAGGCCTTTCAACATTCTGACCACTCTCCTCATGACCAGATTTGGTTAATTTTTATTTATTTATTTATTTTTTTCAGGGGCACCTGGTGGCTCAGTCAGTTAAGCATCCAACTTTGGCTCAGGTCATGATCTCACAGTCTGTGGATTCAAGCCCCACATCAGACTCAGTGTTGACAGCTCAGAGCCTGGAACCTGCTTCGGATTCTGTGTCTCCTTCTCTCTGCCCCTGCCCCACTCTTGCTCTGTCTCTCTTTCTCAAAAATAAGTAAACATTTTTAAAAAATGTTTTTAAACATATTCTTTTTCAGTATAGTATTACGATGTGAGTGTGATTTAACCAGCAGTGTAGAGGTGAAGCAGAACTAGCATTTTTTCCCTCTTGATACTATGTTCTACTAACACAACCTGAATTCACAGTATTTTTAATAGCCATATTACAGTGTTTACTCATATTAAGCAGAAAAAGAATAAAACCTCAAGTCTTTTTCATAATAAGCCATCAACCTTTTCTTATCCATTCATACTCAGACCAAGATCATCATTTGAGTCCTTGGAAATTACTCCAGAGTTGTTATTTTCAGATTTGGCTATTATGTTCCTGATATCCTCAACCTAAGCTCCTTCTAAAATGTCGACCACAACAGAATACGTATAAAGCCTTTCAGGGAAGAGAAGAGAGTATTGTCCAGCTCTACTTCTCTAGAAGAGCAAGGATAGTGTTATTAGGTACCTGTCTATAGAGGTAGGAGAAAAATTTAAGGTTTATGACTCTTATGAGTTCATTTACTTTGCTATTTCATAAACCTCACCTATACCCCTATACCTTCCAATTTCCACCATGGGAAGTAGATTTGTCATATTAAAATGAACTCTGCTTTATATTTGGATTAATATAATCAAATGTTAACTGAGGTTATATAAGTTTGAATAAATATCTTTTTGCTACAGAGAAAAAATATGAGAAAATAGGATTTCCGAGGCTTCAAGTATTGACTCTTTGAGTATTGATTTGAGTAACTTTTTTTAAGGTAAGCTCCACACTCAACTAAAACCCAATGTGGACTTGAACTCATGACCCAGAGATCAAGAGTTGCATGCTTTACTGACTGAGCACCCCTGATGCAAGTATTTTAAACGTTACTTCAGAAAATGGAAAATATCACAAAATTCCATTTACTATTTTAAAATATCACAGTTGTGTTCTACTTTCTCTTCAGCACTTTTTTTTTCAGCTCTATGAAGATAAATATAGAGTTGGAAAAGTTAACTAAACATATTTATCTCTTGTGGACCTATATCTGATATTTCCTTCTAGTCCTTCACTTACCTTATTGTATATTATAGTTATAGCATGTTATTTATGTATTTAATGGATTATTTTACTCCTGGTCCTAGTTCCCAACTTGTTTGAGATTATACATTAGTTTGTATCAAATGAAATATCAAGAGGGAACTGCTTAAAATATGGTACAGCCACATCAAAGCACACTGTAAAGCAGCTATTAAAACAGAATAAGGTAATTCCTTATGTTCCGATAGTATTATAATAGGTAAACCATACATAATTCCATTTGTGCAAAAGGAAAATATATCCATATGAATATATAGATATTTATATTTAGATCTTCCTCAACTTAGGAAATATCATAAGTCAAAAATACATTTAATATACCTAATCTACCAAACATAGCTTACCCTAGCCTGCCTTAAACATGCTGAGAACACTTACATCAGCCTTCAAAGCTGATTTTATAATAAAGTGTTGGCTATCTCACATAATTTATTGAATACTGCAATGAAAGTAAACCACAGAATGGCTGCATGGATACAGCACGGTTATCAGTTTTACCCTTTTAATCTTGTGGCTGACTGCGGGCTGCAGCCTGCTGTCACTGCCCAGTAAGAGAGTATTGTACTGCATATTGCTAACCCAGGAAAAGATCAAAATTCAAACTTCGAAGTATGATTTCTACTGAATGTGTATCATTTTCACATCATTATTAAGTCGAAAAATCGTTAAGTTGAACCATCCTAAGTCAGTAAACTGTCTCTCTCTATAATATGTTTAACATATTCATTGACAAATATATAACATATTCAAATAAAATATGTATTTAATATACATCATAAATTTAAATTATATATTTGTACACGTTAGTATTTAGATGGATAATTTTGGGGGGCGCCTATGTGGCTCAGTCAGTTAAGTGTCTGAGTCTTGGTTTCGGCTCAGGTCATGATCTCTGGGTTCATGAGATCAAGCCCCGCGTTGGGCTCTATGCTGACAGTGCAGAGCCTGCTTGGGATTCTCTGTCTCTCTCTGCTTCTCTCCCACTAGTGTGTTCTCTCCCTCTCTTTCTCTCTCGAAATAAATAAATAAACATTAAAAGAAATAAATGCATAATTTTTGGAAGAATACATAAAAACTGTTAACAGTGACAATCTCTCTAGAGAGTAGGACAGCAATGGGTAGAGTTAGCTGGACACCTTATTTATTACTTTAGACTTTTCTTTTACGGTGTCTATACTTTACTTTCATAATAAAAATTAGCTTTAAAAAACTTAAAGGAACAATAATAGATGTGTCTATTAAAGTATTTTAAAAGTACACAGAATAATATACTTAAAAAGAATTTTTTCTAGGCTCAACTAAAAAATACCTAGAGTGTAAAAAAGACACGTTAAAAAAAAAATCATTTGTATTTCAAATCAGTGCACTTTACTCAGACACATCTCATACAGAGATTCCAATAAAAAATAACTTAGTGAAAACATGTATTGGAGGTTCAAATGATGCAACAATAGTGATTGTTAAGTCACCTTAAATTCTTTTGAAACAAGATAAATGAGAAATCAACCAACTAGCAATTCAAGAAACAAGTGAAACATAAATAAGTAAGTTAATTAAACACATCACTTAAAAGTCAATACTGGTTTTAAAGTTTTATATTGAATACCTACAAATATTTTAATGCAGATGCTGACAGTTTTGATCCACTTATAGAATCTGTTCTGATTCTGCGACTTGCTAGATAATAGCCATGGATCATTCTTTCTGCCTCCAAACTGAATTCTACATTCAAATTCTTTGCAAAAGCCAGCAGCTAAATTAAAAATGTGAAAAATTTAAGAAATTCAAACTTTGTTATAGAATCTATAGTACAAAAATCCAAAGTTTGCATACTTTATTTACATCAAAGTTGATTAAATATCTGAGGCTGTCCCAAAGTCATTGAACACTTTAAATCATAGTCTTATACTTATATAAATATTATTACAGTTTAGCCAGAATAATCTCTTCCTCCCTCTTAGTGCAGAAATGTTCTGTGCAATGTACTTGAATGACTATCAAGTCTTTACTTCCAGTGGAAAAAAGGCTCACTCACCTCCTTTCTGTGGGAGAGAGGCTTCCCTCAACAGCTCATTTCCCTTTGAATAGCTTTAATTCTTTGTCAATTTATTTCCTTATAACTTTCTCTCATGGGCCTTAGAGCTACTTGTTCTCCTTTTCCTTCCTTTTAAACACAAGTGATCACTAGCAATATGGAAGGCACTGTGTTAACTACTATGAAGGTAGGCCTTGGAGATTCCAATAAGCCTTCAACATAATGATTAGCACTATTTTTTCTGAACTTCGTGCTTTTATTCTTTCTGAGTGATTCTCAGTCCCTTAAATCCTTAATTCAGGGACATCATTTCCAGACTTTTCAACATCCTGGTTGTTTTCTGCTTTTTTCAACTCAGAATCAAAAGGAAAATTTAATCATAAGGTTGCTATTAACTATATTATATTTTAAATATAACTTTTTAAAGGATCTGTATATATCTTCTCTTCTTTATTCTCCTTACACTCCACAGTTCCCTCCAGACCTTCACAATTGGAAATTAATACCATTAATAATATCAGTAGACTTCTCTAGGTTCTACCATATGGAGTCACAGTAATGTGCCACCTATCTCTGTCCTCAGGAAAGGACTTGCCCCAGCTACTGGAACTGCTGTCAGCATTGGTGTCCAGTCGTCAGCTTCTTCAGGGAATGCCTCAGGACAGCCCATATCAAATGACTGACTGCAGCGGAAGTGGGGGCGGGTATTGTAAAAAAGTCCCTCTGTTTCTATCCAAAGCAGGACAATTCTGGTGGGTCTCTTTTAAGTCCAGAGCTCATTGTGGGGCTATCTTTGGGCCTGCGTCAGCAGCTTGACTACCTCCTCTGCCCAATCCTGCTCCTCTTCCCTTCCACAGGTATTGATAGAAGAGCTAGAGGAGCACTCCCTAATAAACAATGGCACACTAAACTCTCAGTCAGCCTCTTGGAGAGACCAGGCAGTGACACACTCCATCCAATCTGTTTTGTGTAATGGACAGTTTTATCTTCTGGAGAAATCATTTTCGGTGTTTCACAAGCCTAGTAAAGTCCAACTGTTCTCTATAGTCTGATGAATCAGCTATAAAATCTTTGGCCGGAGCTTCAAGGCTTATTGTAAATTTGCCAAATATTAATCCCAATGACTCTACAATAAAATTTTTGCTCCAGTCAGTTATGTCTTCTCATAGTTTTCCATGTATATTCATTTCTACTTTTATATCTTTGCTCCTACTTTTAATTCTGTTTAGAATGCCCATCCTTCCTGTCATTTAAATCATACCTTTCCTTAAGGACTAAAGTCTCACCTCCTTGAAGTCTTCCCAATTCTTGCATTCTACTTGATATCTTCCTTCCTGAATTCCTAAAGTACTTATAGTTAGCACCACCCAGCTTAGCACTTAAATTGTCCCTTAATGGTTTCATATATTTTGTTTATATCTCAATTAAATGATAAACTATTTAAAGAAGAAACTATTTTTTTGTGAGAATATAAAAGAGTGAAATAGGTTAATATATATAAAATATTCAGTAAATACCTAATTAATAAATTCCAAGGGTTTGTTGTTGTTGTTGTTTTTCAGGGAAAAACTGGGCAAAAATTTCTCTGGGTCATTAATATATGTAGATATATAGATATAGATATAGATATAGATATAGATATAGATATAGGTATAGGTATAGATATAGATATAGATATAGTACCCTAATTCCTAGACTACTACTTTTTTCTTATATACTAAAACAAACAAAAAGAGCTACTTTATCATAAATATTGTTCTTTTTCTATTCTACGTCAATAAACAATGTTCATAATTCAGTTTTAAGTCCACCTCACTTTTCAACCTTTTACCCATGCAATCTGCCTACAAAGAAGGCAGGTATAAACAAAATTGTTAATGACTCATAGATTCCCACTCCCAATATTCCCTGCCTTTTACCTATCCTACCCAGATACTTTAACTCTAGTGTGGATAGATTTCTGAATAGTTAATATTAAAAAGGCTTCACTTGTAAATACTTGTATACCTTTAATAGCTGTAAAAATCATTACTGAATTTACATCATCTACTCTCAGGTTCTCTGAACATGCTGCACATTTCCATGTCAGGACATTGAAATGGGTTAGTGAGTCATGACAGGTATTCTCTAAAGTCAGAACTCTGAAGGCATTTACATAAAGTAAATCCTTTTGAATAGTCTGTAAAATGTAAGTAACTGTATAGCTATACATCCTCTCATCATAATTTTCTATAGAAATATTCTATTGGTTTCTTTTTATTGAGAAGTTTTAAAGCCATGTGGATAGTGGTGCAAATAATTAACATTTTAATATTTATGTCTTTACACAGTTTTTAATCTAATTATAATCCTAAATATTTTCTATGCAATGTCCTTAAAATATTTAAAAGCTGAAAGGGACTTGGAATAAAATAATTCTAAATAAATAAAATTGGATGCTGAAAGTGAGTTCTATTTAAATTGAGAAACCTTAGCACATGTATTCTTGGTAATCATTTCTTCTACCTCTACCTTTTCAAAATCTTCAGTTGTGAACTTCTTAGAAGCTACATAAAGGAGCTCTTCAGGATCGATGGCTTTCTTTAAAGTGTGTTGCACAGTAGAAATAAGTGGGTAGCAAGAAGATGATTCATTGCAGTTAATCAATAATCCAAACGCCTCTACAAGATTAGCTGGAATCAAACTGCAATCCTACATCAAATGAAAATATAAAAGGCAAACATAAAACTCTGGCATTTCCACAAACACTTCAGATAATTATAAATACTGTTTATAATTATTTATATTATTAATATATGTATATTATAATATGTTATATACCTATTATTTTTACTTCATTATTTGACATTATTATTATTTAAAGTGTTTCCTGAAAAGCATGGGAATTTACTATGACCAATTTTTAATGCTCTTTATTAATTTCTTACACATTATTCACTAAAGCCTACTCTACTGCCTATTCAAATAATAATTTCTAGTAAACAGACACCTGCTTTGCATGACTAAAAAAAATGAAAATCTTCAGACAATTGCACTGTTATTTAGTTCTAGTACCTGATTAAGGATAGAAATGGGTTAATAACAAAACATTAAGAACAACAAAAACATTAAGATTAAAATCTGTGATTAAATTCCATAAACTACATTCTAAAAATAAAAAATACATATACCTTACCATCCGACCAATGAGAGTGTTGGTTTTCTGCATATTTCTCCTTGAAGATGAATCCATATCAACAAAAGACCAAAAACTGCACTGAACTGGAAAAGTCATTTGTTGATTAATATCATCCCCAAACTTCTTTCCTGGGATGTATACTGTGATGCTTCTGCTTTCCACAACTAAGTGAAAAGACATTGCCTATTTGTTATTTAAGTTTATTTTGGTCTATATGCCTATAAATAACAAATATTATTTTTAATAAGAAATACTATTATATAGAATTTTACTGTCTAAATGTGGGACAGTAAAGACACAAGTAAATTTGGTTGTTTTATAAGATATGGCTTAATTGGAGGATCTAATAAAAAGAATAAGGCAAGAGGGGTGCCTCAGTCGGTTAAGCATTTGGCTCTTGATTTTGGCTCAGGTCATACATGGTCTCATGGTTCATGTGTTTGAGCCCCATGGTCGGGCTCTGTACTGGCAGTGCAAAACCTGCTTAGGATTCTCTGTCTTTCTCTCTCTCTGCCTCTCTCCTGCTTGCTCTCTATCTCTCTCTCTCTCAAAATAAATAAGTAAACATTTATTAGACTTTAAAAAAAAACAAGGCAAGAAAAATATTTGAAAGTTTATGTGTCCCATGACTTGATGAGAACAGCAGTCCAAAGCATGTAGCTAGAATTATGGTCAGTGTCTGGGTAGTATAGGCAGAGGGTTAAGACACTGGTTATATTAGTGCAGGCTTATAAAGGGGGCTGAAATTAAGCAATATTCTTTTATGTGGAAATAAAAGGATATCTATATGAGAGTGAAAGAGAACAAGATTGATAGAGAATATAAACTACAATGACTAGGCGAAAATAGATCTCAAATTCAACATGCTAAAAACCAAATTCATCATTTTTCCTTCTCAAATGGCTCTGTGTGCATTATTTGCCATTAGAGGAATCACTATCCAACTACTTAAAACCCAAACAAACCAAAAAAATCTAGAAACAACATAGTTTCCTTTTTATCTTTCCTTCATCCCTTATAACCATTAAACCTATGGATTCAATCCTAGGATTCCATATTCCAAATATTTCTCAAATTAAACTTCTCTTTATTCATGATAAGAGAGTCTTTTCTTTATATTTATCTTTCTCTTGGGTCGTAAGGTAAATACATATTTAACTCTATAGAAACTGCCAGAGCAGTTTTCAAAATGGTTGCACTATGTTATACTTTCACATACAGTATATAAGAATTCCAGTTTTTCCATATCCTTGGTAACATCTGTTTTCAGTCTTTTTAATTTTTGCCATTCTAGTAGCCAGGGCCAGTTACTTAAATTTTTTTTTTAATGTTTTATTATCCAAAGTTGAGATAGAGGGAGAAAGAGCGTGAGCAGGGGAGAGGCAGAGAGAGAGCGAGACACAGAATCTGAAGCAGGCTCCAGGCTCTGAGCTGTCAGCACAGAGCCTGAAGCGGGGCTTGAACTCACAAACCATGAGATCGTGCCCTGGGCTGAAATCGGACACTTAACTGACTGAGCCACCCAGGCACCCCCAGGGCCAGTTACTTAATATGTGGGGCCTAGTGTAAACTAAAAATCTGGGCTCCTTAATCAAAGTACTAATTAAGAGTACTAATATAAAAAGCTTTTTCCTTTAAAAATATTTTATTACTTATGAAATGTAATAGGACTGATGTGGAGAATTTAGAACCATTATGCTTTACTCGTAAGAATATAAAATTGCACAGCCACTGTGGAAAACAGTTTGGTGATTTCTCATAAAGCTACACATAGAATTACCTTATGACCCAGCAATTCCACTTTTAAGTATATACCCAAGAGGTGAAAGTAGGGACTCAAACAGATACTTGGACTCATGTTCACAGCAACATTATTCACGATAGCCAAAAGGCAGAAACAACCTAAGTTTCTCTCAACTAATGAATGAATTTTTTTAAAAAGTGGTATATACATAAAATGGGATATGATTCAGCAATAAGAAGAAAAGAGATTCTTAAATAGACAAATTCATAAAGACAGAAAGTAGAACAGAGGTTACCAATGGCTGGAGGTACAGGGGAATAGGGTTATTGTTCAATGGGTACAGAGTTTCTGTTAGGGATTATGAAAAGTTCTGGAAATGGAGAGTGGTATTAATGACATAACATTGTGAATGTACTTAATGCCACTGAATTGCACACTTAAAAATGGTTAAAATGGTACATTTTATGTTATGTGTATTTCACCATAGAGGGGAACTCCTTCAACTTGAAAAAGAACATCTACAAAAAACCTACAGCTAACTTCATATTTAATGGTAACAAAACTCAAAGCTTTCCTGCTAAGATCAGAAACAAGTCAAGGATGTCTCCTTTCACCACTGTTTTTCAGCATCAGAGCTGAAGTCCTACTTAATACACTAAGACAAGACAAGAAAATAAATCTCGCCCAATACAGATTCACATGTTAGGACAACTGAGAGAAAAATTAAAACAGTGCATTTTCATATTAAATTCCTTTCTTTATTAATACAGGTAAAATGAGAAGTGCCATTTAATATAATTTCTCAGTTCCTAAAATGTGTACAATATGATCTTAACTGTTAAGTAATTCCTTGACTGATGAGACTATAAGTTAAACAGGTGATGGAATGCAAGCTGGTACAGCCCCTCTGGAAAACAGTATGGAGGTTTCTCAAAAAACTAAAAATAGAACTACCGAAGGACCCAGCAATTGCACTACTAGGTATTTATCCAAGGGATACAGATATGCTGTTTCTTAAATTTTTTTTTTTTAACGTTTATTTATTTTTGAGACAGAGAGAGACAGAGCATGAACAGGGGAGGGTCAGAGAGTGGGAGACACAGAATCTGAAACAGGCTCCAGGCTCCGAGCTGTCAGCACAGAGCCCGATGCGGGGCTCGAACTCACGGACCGCGAGATCATGACCTGAGCCGAAGTCGGCCGCTTAACCGACTGAGCCACCCAGGTCCCAGGTATGCTGTTTCAAAGGGACACATGCACCCCAATGTTTATAGCAGCACTATGAACAATAGCCAAAGGATGGAAAGAGCCCAAATGTCCATCAATGGATGAATGGATAAAGAAGATATGGTATATATACTCGGCAATCAAAAAGAATGAAATATTGCCATTTGCAACTATGTGGATGGAACTGGATGGTGTTATGCTAAGTGAAATTAGAGAAAGACAAAAATCGTACGACTTCACTCATATGAGGACTTTAAGAGACAAAACAGATGAACATAAGGGAAGGGAAACAAAAATAATATAAAAACAGGGAGGGGTACAAAACAGAAGAGACTCATAAATATGGAAAACAAACAGAGGGTTACTGGAGGGGTTTTGGGAGGGGGGGATGGGCTAAATGGGTAAGGGATTAAGGAATCTACTCCTGAAATCATTGTTGCACTATATGCTAACTAATTTGGAAGTAAATTTAAAAAAAAAAAAAGGCCAATTCATCAACAAAAATTTTTTAAAAAGTTAAACAGGTGAAAATTAATTCAAAAAAATATTGTTTACCTGATTGAAGCTGTTCTAGTTTATCTTTTTTGTGTGAAGCCAAGTCTCCTATAAAGCAGATACCACCTTTAGCTAGCAAAGCACTGCCAGCTTGAATACTAACTGCTCCAGTTCCATACTTATTCCTGGATAGAGTAGGAAAAATTTCAGTAGAGACTGGATGACGTATGCCACGAGGCACAAGTTTTATACTAAAATTCAAAAGCCTAGGAAAAAATAAATTATTCATTACTATTATTTACTATTTGATTTTCAGAAGTCATAATGTATAACAGCTACACAATTAAATTTGATTCAGTGTTTAGTAAGGAACTTTTTCTTTTTTTGAAGACTTTATTTCTAAGTAATCTTTACACCCAACATGGGACTTGAACTCACAACCCCAAGATCAAGAGTTGCATGCTCTACCAACTGAGCCATCCAGGTACCCCACCCCTAGTGAACACTTTTGTTAGGGATAAAACCACTTTTGAGACTTGGTCCTTAATTTGGAAAGCTCACAGCCTAGCAAAGGAGACATAAACAAAAAACTAAAACACAATGTGATAAGTACTAAAATAATATCATGAGAACATCCATATCAGAGTATTATTTCTTTCAGGAAGGAAGTTAGAGAAAGGTACAAAGAGATGACATTTGATCTGGGCCTTCCTCTTTATGGATTGCTTTCTCTTGTTTATTCAGAATGTTTGCATTTAGGCTTGCCAATAGCCCATCACGACTATTCCTGCTGCCTATATATCATGGTAACTCTTGATACATCTTCTTGTTTTCTAATTTCTTTGCCAATTGCCTGAGCCTCTTAATTTCTCAAATTTAAATTCTAAGAAAGGATGATGATTATTTTAAGCTTAGCTTTCAAATCTGATGCCACAGAAATCATAGCTCATTGGTGAAATCAACTATGATGAATAGACAAAGACATATAGTACAAAAGGGTGAAGTAGTATTCCTTAAATGTGGATAGGTTATGTGGGGTAATGGGTTCTACTTACATAAATGGGTTAGAAAAAAGCTTAGGGCAGAAAGCTGCCACCATGAGGCAAAAAGCACCCAAAGTTAGCTATCGAGATACTGTAATGGGAGCACTAGTAACTTGTTATATCACCTGCAGGAAATTACTTTCCATCTGGTACCAATGTACCTTAATCACAAACTCCACTTGCCCCCCAGACCCTTTGCTTCTTACACACACAAGTTAAAGATTACTATCTGATTGTTTTCTCCATGTTCATCACATGTGTAAGATCTTGTTTTCTTCACATTCCTCACATGGGTAATATCTTGTGAGCTCAATAAATACAGAGATAAAACCCCTATTTGGGGCTCTTGTCTCCTCCTGGACATTAGCCTCCCTCATATTCAATTTTGCATCTGCTCTCTTGCTGAACAACAGAGAACTCCAGACTCATAGTCTGCAACAAAGTTGATATAAAGTTTCTAGTGTATATGCCATTCCAAGGAATTTGGATGTTGGTTTGTAAAATGGGGGAATGAGGTTTAGAAAGAAACTTTTGCAAGCCTGTAGAGCAGTGTTTTTCAACCTTAGCTTACATTAAAATCACCTGGGGAAATTTAAAAAATTCTAATGTCAAGCCCCAGCCCAAACCATGAAATTAGAATTCCTGGGGTGAGCCAGTCATAAATATATATATTTTTTACTTCTCCCAGGTAATTCTAATATGCAGGCAGGCTCAGAACCTAGTTATATAGAAAACTGGGCCTCAAACTTGTCTACACATTGGAATCTAATGAGGAACTTTTAAAAATACTGATAGAAGGTTATATAATGTAAGGTCAAAATACAAAAATCAATTATATTTCTATATTCACAGAAAATATTTGAAGAATGAAATTAATAAAACACTACCATTTTTAATAGTATCAATATTTTCAAATATTTAGAAATAACTTTAGCAAAATGTATGTATGACCTTTATAAAACATTGCTGAGAGAAATTAAGGGGGATTTAAATAAATGGAGATACACATAGATTAAAAGATTCAACACTGTTATGATTTAAATTCTCCCTAAAATTGATTTATAAGTTAAATGCAGTTCCAACAAAAATCTTTAATGGGCTTTTTTGGAGGGTAGGTGAGTAGTATTAACCTCTGGATTCTAAACTTTATAAGAAAATGCAGGATTCTCAACTTTCTAAGAAAATGCAAAGGACCTAAAATAATGAAAAAGAATCTTGAAAATGAAGAATAAAGTTGCACCACTTGATTCAAAACTTTACATAGAGCTACAATAATCAAGAATTATGATAGTGGCATAATTATAGACAAATGGGTCAAAATAACAGAAAAGAGTTCAAATAGATTTATACCCAATTCAATTTTATACCTAGTTTATACCCACTTCAACTGATTTTCAACAATGGTACCAAAGCAGTTCAATGGGGAAGGGAATTCTTCTCAACAAATGGTATGGGAAGACTGGATAAATGCATAGAAAAAAAAACATTAACCTTGACTCCTACCTCACACCATATACAAAAATTAATTTATGATGTATAAAAGACAATATAAAAGCTAAAACTATAATGCTTCTAGGAGAAAATATAAAAGACTATCTTCATGACCTTAGGGTAGCCAAAGATTTCTTAGATAGAATCCAGAAAACACTAAACTTAAAAAAACAATAAATTGAATTTCAACAAAACAAAAAAGTCTGCTCATCAAAGACATTTTTAAGAAAAAAATACTAGTTTTAGATTGAAAGAAAATTTTCATGGCACATATATGTGACAAAGGACATGCATCTAGAACAACCCCACTTAAAAGTGAGCAAAAGACTTGAACAGACACTTCATAAAAGAAGATACATGAGCAGCCAATAACCACATAGAAAAAAATTCAGATCAGTAGTCATCAGGGAAATGAAAATTACAACCATAATGTGATACCATTTCATATGCACCAGAATGGCTAAAGTGAGAAAAGACTGACACCACCAAGATGTTGGTGATGATAGAAACAACTGGAACCCTACGTTGTTAGTAGGAATGTAAAATGGTATAATCACTCTGGAAAACTGTTCGACAGTTTCTTAAAGTTAAATATATACTTATCTAATGACATAGCAATTCCATTCCTAGGTATTTATGAAAGATAATGAAAACATAGATCCACAAAAAAGCCTGTAGAGGAATGTTTACAGCAGATTCATTTATAATAGTCAAAACATGCAAAACCCAATGTCCATCACTAGGAGAATGGATAAACATATTCTGCTATATTTATGTAATCTGCTGTATTTATGTAATCATAAATAATCATCAATAAAAACAATGAGCTACTGATACACACAACTGGGTCAACCTCAAATACATATAGAGTGAAAGAGACTAGTCTCAAGAGAGGCATTGTATGATTCCATTTTAATGAAGTTCAAGAACAGGAAAATTGACCTTGGTTACAGAAATTATGTATGTAGATAGGAATTGATTGAAGGAACTTTCTGAGGTGATGGAAATGTTCTATATCTTACTGTGGTGGTGGTTATAGCAATATATATACTTATCAAAACTCATTGAATTATATACTTAAGATCTGATTATTTACTGATTATTTAGTTATAAATTTTAACTAAAAAATAAAAAAACCTCAAATCTCTTGTACTACCCCAAATACCATAGGAAAAGTCAAAGGTTAATGACAAACAGGAAAAGGCACAAAGGCATTAATTTATAGGAGGTATCACAAATCATTTAGAAATAAGCAATAGAAAAGGTGACAATGGTCAAGGAGGTTTACAGAAAAATAATAAAAGTGTTTAACAAGCTCTTGGGGTGCCTGGGTGGCAGTCTTGATCTTAGGGTCATGTCCTGCATTGGGCTCCACAATGAGTGTGAAGCCTACTTTAAAAAAAAAAAGAGGGGCGCCTGGGTGGCGCAGTCGGTTAAGCGTCCGACTTCAGCCAGGTCACGATCTCGCGGTCCGTGAGTTCGAGCCCCGCGTTGGGCTCTGGGCTGATGGCTCAGAGCCTGGAGCCTGTTTCTGATTCTGTGTCTCCCTCTCTCTCTGCCCCTCCCCTGTTCATGCTCTGTCTCTCTCTGTCCCAAAAATAAATAAATGTTGAAAAAAAAAATTAAAAAAAAAAAAGAGTTTACAAGCTCTAAATAATGCTAAAACTTTTTTTTTAATTTATTTTTAAGCAATCTCTACAGCCAATGTGAGGCTTGAACTCAACCCCAAGATAAAGAGTTGCACACTCCACCAACTGAGCCAGCCAGGTGCCCCACTAAAACTTACTTCTAATTTAAAAAATGCCATTCAAAGTCAAATACCATTTTCCACCCATCAGATTTAAAAGTTTGACCATACCCAGTGTTGGTGAGACTGTGAGGAAAGAAATACTCTCATGCTCATCAATGGAGGATTAAATTGGTGCGATCTGTAGCAATTAGTACCACATTTACATTGAAATTTAATTAATTTGCTAAAATTAAATTTTAGCAAAACATCATCTGTCCAACAAACTTAATTTGCATTTTTTAAATTTTAAATTCTATAAATTTGTTTTTGCTTTACAAATGCATCCAGGGTATTAATACAAGAAGCTTATTCCTAGCTTTTTGAACATGTAAGTAACTTTAAAAATGGTACTTGCTAGTGGGGAGCCCCAAAATGCTGAGTAGAAGCTTATTCCAAAGTTAGGGTGATAGTCCCAGAACAGTAATTTTGGTACTTTTCACAGCCTTATTTTGGCACAGTGAATCAGTATTACTGAATGGAATCTTGTAGAAAAATAAGACAATGGTTTGTTGGTTCTTGCCCCCCCCCCCCCGGGAGATTACTTTCAAATGAAAATAAAGTACAAAAGAGAATGTTGAGTTAGGGAATTGAGGAAAAGGAAAAGGAAGTCTATGAAGGATATATTTATTTGTAAAGGTGTGAGTGGGAAAATTGGTTGAAACTTTTGAGTGGTTAAATCCTCAAAATATTGAAAGCAAATATCCAATTTATTAATTCCTGTGTTTAAAGTTTTGAACTCCATTAATAAAAGTTTATTTAAATATTTTTTTTTTAATTTTTTTTTTCAACGTTTATTTATTTTTGCGACAGAGAGAGACAGAGCATGAACGGGGGAGGGGCAGAGAGAGAGGGAGACACAGAATCGGAAACAGGCTCCAGGCTCTGGGCCATCAGCCCAGAGCCTGACGCGGGGCTCGAACTCACGGACCGCGAGATCGTGACCTGGCTGAAGTCGGACGCTTAACCGACTGCGCCACCCAGGCGCCCCAAGTTTATTTAAATATTTATACTGCCCAGATAATTATAAACATTTGTCTTATAATAATGCTCATGGAAAGGATTTATGCAAATAAATGTGTGACCAATTTATAATCTGAAAACATCCATGTCACATATTTTACCTGTCTACAAGTAGAGTATCACTTGTCATGATTAAAATATCCAGGCAATCTTTCAGTTCCTTGTTACGGTCACTTGTCTGTACTAGACTCATCAGCAAACATAGCTTGAGCAAATTGTAAGTCCCAGGAGGAACAATTTGTGATGCAAAGATATTGGCAAGTATCGCTGTAAATTTCCAGCATGAGCTGGAAGTCAAAGAGAGGAGATACCTAAAATTGTCGCTTATTCCTGAAGGAACTGAAAGTAAACATATATTAAAAAGGGTTTTAAAATAAGAAAATGACATTATAGATATCTAATCCCATTTATCAAAAATATTACTAAATTGTAGCTCTTTTAGCGATGCTATATTCAAATTCTTATAATATTAAATTATGATTAAAGGTCACTCTGGTCTCTCAATTTTATCTCAGGGAATGTAATAAAATGAAACAGTTACCCCATGTGTCCACATAAATTGGCTGTGGGGTACATGCAAATCCCTCATTCTTCTCCTTTTAAGACCTATGTAAACCAAGCCAGATCATGGGGCACCTGTATTGCAGTGTTTGCTTCTATATGTTTGAAATAATATCATCTTTAGTGAGGGCTAACCAGCAGAAGGGGAAATTTTTGAATGTTGTTGTTAAAAGGGAAGATTTAGGGTGCCTGGGTGGCTCAGTTGATTAAGTATCCAACTCTTGGTTTTGGCTCAGGTCATGATCTCACAGTTTGCAGAGTTTAAGCCCCGTATCAGGCTCCATGCTGGCAATGCAAAGCCTGCATGGGATATTCTCTCTCTCTCTCTCTCTCTCTCTCTCTCTCTCTCTCTCTCTCTCTCTCTCTTTCTCTCTCTCTCTCTCTCTCTTCTCTGCCTTCCCCTGCTCACTCCCTCTCTCAAAACAAATAAATAAAAATACACAAAGAAAAGGGAAGATTTATTCTCCACTACTTTGAAAGCACTGCACTGTACTATACTGTAACATTCTAGATCTTTTCTACTCCCTTACTCTGTCCAGCTCCTGAAATGAGCCTTTTAATCCACTTGATCATTGAGAAGAACTGCTATGCATGCATAAGCCAGTTCCTTTCTCCTAACTCTTGGGCTGCCATCATAGAGCAATGATTTCTTCTATTCATCCATGGCCATGGACCGAGGGAAGCCTACCTTAGTGTAGCTATTGCCACATTTGGGTGGTTAAATCTGCCTACTTCTGGAATGCAATATAAGAAAGCACACTTTCTCACCTACATATAAGTCCTGTTCTCCTACCAAATCAATAAATCTGGGAATACTTCACAGAAGAAAATATTTTAAATGTCACTAAAATATCTATTGTCCATTAGTGCTTTCTTTGTTCAATATTTTTATTTTTCTAAGAAGCTTTTCTCTTCAAGACAAGCAGAGGTATCTAGAATCTAATTGCATTTATTTTTTATTTTTTAAATTTTTATTTATTTAGATATTTATTTATTTTGACAGAGAGGGCAAGCATGCACATGAGCAGGAGAGAGGCAGAGAGAGAAGGAAAGAGAGAATCCCAAGCAGGTTCCTTGCTGTCAGTACAGAGCCTGACTTGGGGCTTGATCTCACGAACTGTGGATCATGACCTGAGCCAAAATCAAAGTTGAACAGTTAACTGACTGAGCCACCCAGGCTCCACTATTTTTTTTATCTTAAAGAGGGAAAGAGAACACAAATGAGTGAGACAGGCAGAGGGGGAGAGAGAATCCCAATCAGGCTCCGTGCTATCACCACAGAGCCCGGTGCTGGGTTAGATCCTATGACCCTGGGATCACGGCCTGAGGCAAAATCCTGAGTTGGATGCTCAACCAACTGAGCCACCAGGTGCCCCAAACAGATTTTATTTATTTATTTATTTACTTACTTACTTACTTACTTACTTACTTATTTTCCTTGAGAGAGAGGGGAGGGCACACACACATGTATGAGTGTGAGCAGGGGAAGGGCAGAGAGAAAAGGACAGAGAACCTTAAGCAGGTTCCATGCCCAGTGCAGAGCCTGAGGGGCCAGATCTCACAACCATGAGATCATTACCTGAGCCAAAATTGAGAGTTCATGCTTAACCGATTGAGCCATCAGGTGCCCCTAGAATCTACTTGCGTTTAACTCAACTTGGGCCTCTATTATTGCAGACGATTATCTAGTGATTCCTAAATAAATAAATAAATAAATAAATAAATAAATAAACAAACAAACAAACAAATAAATAAATCTAAAATCTAAAATCTAAAATCTAAAATCTAAATCTATTCAAGATTTAACCAGTCCTTCCTGAACATTTAAATATTTATATGCCAAGTTAAAAGAGTAGGTCTGCTCTCCTCTTTTACTTAATGCTTATTTGTGTTGGCATTGTTAAAGGAAATTACTAGTAATAAAGGTGATATTTTGGCCCCCATCTGCCTTTCTCTTCTGTCTTATTTCTTGATTGGTTCAGAACTCAGATGAGGAATAGGATGCTATTTTATTGGGTTCTTTTTCTCAGACAACAAGTTACTTAACATTGCCTTAGCTAGAAAATAAAAGGTGGGGTGAAAAACCTTTTGGTGAATCTCAAACTCCTGACATCTGGACACAATTTTCTCATTGCTAATCATGAAAAAAATCAAAATAAAGTTTAGGCAAAAAAAGGAGTCCTTCCTCTGGGCAAGGGTCTACATTATCACATTTTCTTTCTTTCATAGCCTTTATTATCTGTAATCATTGATTAGTTTATAGGTTTATTCACTATCTACCATATGATTAAGAGAAAGAACCTTGATTGTCCTGATTACAACTATATCTCTAGAGCTTAAAAGAGTGCCCAACAATACTTATTTCCTGAAAAAATACTTATTTCCTGAACACAAGGACTTAAATTTAATTATTTTTTAAATATGATACTAATAATTTCCTTACCTTCTGGATTACAAGAAATGATACTGTTTGCCTCTATACAGACAGCAGTTTGTGAAGTTCTTACACAGGTTGGAATTCCAATAATTTTATACTCATTTCCTATATTCATTTTACTCACAGATTCATCTAAAATCATTAAACACAAAAGAAAATATGTATTCACTAAATGAAACTTGTACGTGATCAAATGGTTCAATGATCTAGAACTAGTAACAATTCAGTAGTTGAGTTAGTTGTATTTACTTTTGTTTAGTATAATATCTATATAGAGTGGCACTAATAATGTAAATTGAGGCAATTTTATTGCTAATAAATTTTTATATTTATAGGCAATGATGAATTAACTTCAAGAAGCATGAGACATAGCAATTAGATAGTCTCCTATAATACAATGAAAGGAAAAACAAGATCATTCTATTTAAGATGAAATATCTTTGCATTAAATGACAAGAAATGTTAATAAAAATGATCTTATAAGTAATAATTTAATTTGGGAAGAAAATAATTTTAAAAGGTTTATTTCACCGTCTATGATATAGGCAAGGTATGTTACATACATCATTTAATTATAAAATGTTAGATATTATTATTCCACTTTGTATATAAAGAAACTGAGAAATTAAGTGATTTGCAGAAGGCATTTACTAAATGGTAAGTAGCAGAACTGAAATTCACATCTAGGTCTGCTTATCTCCTTGCACTATGCTAGGTTTCCCTTCTCATACCTACAGATTGTGCAATGCTTTTGCACAAATTCAAAATTTATCTTACAAACATACACTAAAAATCTTGATCCTCCATTAAACGGAAGTTGGGTGGTTATAAAGCTATGAAAAAAAGGACTTATAAGGAGGAACAAGATTAGCTTCTCTCTGTGAAGAAGATCAAACATTGACCTTCTCCATCATTTTTTTTCTCCTCTCTCTCTTACTCTCTCTACCCTTTTGGTGGGGGGGTGGGAGTTTCAGAGAGCATATTGGTGTACCCTGTAGACTGGAAGGGAAGAATCAGGCTTGAAAATTGGGAAAATAAAAACTGCAAACCAACCAACCAAACCAAACCAAACAACCAACCCAAAAAAACAAAAACAAAAACAAAACCAACTAACTGAAGGATACAGAATGAATTACAAGGGGAAAATAAAAGCAAACAATTTTTCAACTGTTCCATGGAATCATAGAGTTTGGTAGATGTATCCTGAGGTCAAGGAAAGGTCATGAGAAAAGCAAGGAGATCAGGAAGTCTTGGTATTTCTTCTAATATCAACCCCAAAAGGCCTGTTGTTATTAATTTAATCTCTAAAAATTCACTTAGGTTCCATGAAAGAGTTTATCTAAAGAAAGGGTTTTCTACTAAAATATAAGTTGGATAGCCACTTATATTTATACACTGTATGGTTTGTATATGGTATTTAACAGAATTAAGTAGATGAAAGCATAGACTTTGAAGCTGGAAGGCTGGAATTTGAATCATGGCTCTGCCATGTACTAGCTATATGACTCTGGATAAGTAACTTCTCTGTGCCTCAGTTTCCAAATTGTAAAATTGAGATAACAATAGAACTTACTTGATACGGTTACAACTAAATGAGTTAAAATATGTAACAGTGCCTGGCACACAGTAACTGCTATATAAAAATGAACCATTATCATCTGGGCTTACATACCTGCTTCATCCTTGTCAGGCCATGGTGGAAAGAGTTCTTGTTTGAGTCTCTACTTGCCTAACTCTTGAGTTTCCTATACTCGGTTGACATCTAAGCTCTCTCTTTCCAAACAGTTTAATTCCTCAAATTTCAACCCAAGAAAGGAGGCTGAGCCTCACCCTCATTTTCACTTGTTCTGGCTTTTCAGTGAAGAGCCATCTCTTTCCTGGGTGACTGACACTGATGATTTTCCCCATGGCAGACTCAGTCTACTCACAGGTCTCTACTCATGAAGTTCTCAACAATTAATCATATGTCACTGCTTATTCATTATTTTTAAGTTTATTTATTTATTTTTGAAAGAGAGAGAGAGGGAGGGGTAGAGAAAGAATCTGAAGCAGGCTCCACAATGTCAATGCTGAGCCAAAGTGGGGCTCAAACTCACAAACTATAAAGATCATGATCTGAGTCGAAGTCAGATGCTTAACTGACTGAGCCACCCAGGCACCCTCATTCATTTTTAAACAAATATTTATTAAGTTTTTACTATGTGCAGTAAAAAAAAAAAAAACCTATGTCCTTACCTTCATGAAGTTTACATTCTAAAAGAACCCCAATATTTACATAAGACACAACATAGAATAATGGGAGGTCTTTACCCCAAGTAATTGTGTCCCTGAGACTTAGCACAGTGTCTGGGACATAGAAGGTGCTAATATCTTTTTAAGTAAATAATGTATGAATCAATGAATAATTAATATATTAGCAAAATATAACTCTTTAAAACACTCTCAAAAAGATCTATGATTCTTAAGCTATAGAAGTACCAATTTATAAGTCATAAACAATAGTCATAAACATAAAATAGTCGTAAACAAACATAAATATAATAAATATAAACAATAGTCATAAACAATAGTCTTACATTTTTTAGCAATTTGCTTTTAGATCACACAAAACTTACTTACCCCTTAGAAAAATTGTAAGAGATTGAAACCTAAATGGCTGGTTATTGGAATATCCTTGAAAAGCATGAAGTGCCTTTGCTGTGATTATTTCAACTATCTGTTTATCTTAAGGCAAATAGCAAAAAAAAGAATTAGGTATTTGAATACACATTCTATTTAATTTCCACATTAAGATATAAAACACTATTTTAAAACTTATAATTGCAAAATGTAAATTCATTTTTACCACCAAGTACTCTAAATTTTCTGTCTTCTTGAAGTGAAGATGAACACAGATTACACAAAAAGTCATTTCTTACTGTTGCAGATTCAGTAGCACCAGGCACATGCACTCTTATATACTCAAATCCTAAAAGTAAACAAAGGAAAGCTAAATTTACTTTTAGATTTAGCTATCCATTTTCAATCCTTTAAAATTAATCTAACTCAAAGTATAAATAACTCAATTTTGCACATGGGTTCCTGAGAAGTTCAATTAACATTTATTGCATGGCTCTTTCTTGGCAGGTACTGTGTTAAGGCACTGGTGATATGGATACATAAACACACAGTTTCAAAAGGCAGCAATAAGAAACAGATAATTTCAATATGTGGTTTTCATTTGGACTGTCCAGAGAGAAGAGAGAATGGCATCCAACCCAATGATAAGTGGAGATGAATGGAAAAGATGTCCTGAGAAGGACTGAACTGAAGTTAAGGCAAAGGTCTGAGAGAGGACACTACATGGAGAGGAAACAGCATGAACAAACAGTCATAAAACAATGTGTGAAAACAAGTACTTCAGTAATCCAAGAGCACTGTTAAACTGTGGGAAAAAAGAGGGGAAGAGAGAATATACTTCAAGATCATGCAAAATAAACGTACAAACATAAGACAACAAGTTTTATTCCATTCTTTCTATTCTATGAATGTTTCATAACTAATGATAAACCTGATTTAGGATTAAACAATAATTGCTTGGTATTTTGATTTTACATTTTTATATCTACCTTTCGACAGAGGGCATGCTTCATCTGAACAAAGAAATCTTGCACCTTGTGTGTACTTGGTTACAGTTGTCATTGCAATCACAATACCTTGCATCATATAAAATCTTTGAGATGCATAATCAAGTGGAAATTCACAAAGATCAAGACTATAACTTCGCAGAGGAGGTAAATGTGTTAACTTCAGCACTATATTAATCTAATAAGAATGTAAAAAATGGTATTAATAAAATTGCAGATCTAATTGCACTTGCATTACATTATAGTAAGTATATTTGTGGAGTAAATCAAATAAATGATTTGTTAGTGTTATTAGGAAACAAAATGTAAGCATAAGAAAAAAGATTTAAATATAAAATTAAAGATGCAAAACCCTTAAATCTTACTTTTTAATTGGAAATATCATTATGAACTCATTATTTTTATTTAAAACCACACATTTCCTGACTATATCCATCGAAAAGACCTGTAAAAGAATGACAACCCAATAGTAATGAACTCTTCTAGTGCCCAGATTGTGATCTCTTAAATACAATTTCTCACCAAAAGGAACCTAAGCTGCTTAAGAGAAATGGCTGACTCCAGGTCTGGGGTGGAAAATATACCAGATGGACCTGCTGTATCTCCTTGTGCCAGAAATCAAGGGACTTACAAAAAACTAAAACATGGGATCTGTCAAAAGGACATAAAAGCCAGCTTTAAGGGACTCCCAGTGACCAAAGGTAGGATAAAATAAACATCAAAAGGAATGACAAAGATTCATTGAAATATATCAGATATATTTTAAATATATTAAATACATCAGATATATTAATATATCAGATGTCAGATATATTTTAAATTCATGAATTTTTCATAATAAAAAAATAAAAAACAAAACCCAAAAAATTACTGGTCATCATTAGAGGCTCACAAAATAATGATTTCAACTCATTATTCTCTGAAAACTTATAAATGGAAAGAACCAACCATTTATTCTGCCTTTCTGGTACAAAGTATATTTCAGGGTAACCAAATAGTTGATGAGAGAAAACTTCTGTTATAGAATAATTTCAGTTAATAAGTTCAGAAAGGTTGCTAAAACTAGAAAAAAATCACAACTTTGCAACTTTAATAAAATAATGGATTCTAGGCAATGGTCATCAGTGGCTGCAAAAACTATTAGGTGGAAGTTGATGGGAGACTGTATACTGAAGAGATCAGACTGACATCACCCAAACCTACTAATCAATTGTGGGATTACTAAAAGTGGACAACAGAGAGTGTATTTCTCCTAATGTAACACAATATGAAATACATGGCACTAAATATGATGTATTCTTGTCAAAATGAGTTGAATCTGAATTTAAGCAAGTTTTAAGAGCAAATTCCCTTTTTCCAGAAAAATGGGGTACGGGAGAGTAAGTTAAATGACACAAGAACATGGGGCACCTAGGTGGCTTGGTCAGTTGAGCGTTCGACTTTCGCTAAGGTCATGATCTCATGGTTTGTGAGTTTGAGCCCTGCGTTAGGCTCTGTACTGACAGCTCAGAGCCTGGAGCCTACTTCGGATTCTGTGTGTGTGCCTCTTTCTCTGCCTCTCCCTGCCTCATGCTCTGACTCTGTCTCTTTCTCTCAAAAATAAACATTAAAAAAATTTTTTTAAATGCCACAAAACATAATCAGACAAATCCAGATTATGAGACATTGTACAGGACAATTATCTAGGTTTTTCAAAATTCCAATGGTATAAGAAGGAAGGGGGAGGAAACTGCTCTAGATTAAAAAGGATTTAATAAGATATAAAAACCAATTATAATGTGTATAATGTGTATACCTTGTTTTGATACTGATTTGAACAAATAAATTGTGAGACACTCTTGAGAGTCCAATTGGGTAATTTAAATATAGACTGGATATTAGATGATACCAAAAAATCATTGTTATTTTGTAAAGGGTCATAGTGACATTGCGGTTATATAAGAAAAATGTCCACAATTTTTAGAGGTTGATAGTAAAGTATGTAGGTGGGACATAAGGATATCTGGGATTTGCTTTAAAATATTTTGGGGAAAAGATGATGCAGCTATGGCAATATATTACAAACTATTAGATCTGACTGACAGATAATATGGAGGTTCACAGTATTACTCTCTTTATTTTAGGGTATGTTTGAAATGTTTTATTATAAAAATATTTAATGTTATAAGTGATAATACAGGAAATAAAGATGTGTTTTTAAGATGGTCTATTGAATCTGAAAGAAATGTAGTACTTTTTAAAATAAACAAAATATTGTTTATTATTTAAAAATAATAAATAAAATATGAATAAACAAAATTGAATATAAAATATTTATTTTCAAGTAACATTCAAACTATTTTACCTTGGTTTTCTTTGTTAAATTTAACAAAAACTTACTTGAGCTTCAGTCTGTAATTGTCCAATTAGTGAAAGAGTCTTAACAGCAATAAAACAGACCTGTAATTTCAAACAAACAAAGTTACCAAAAATGCCATGTGGCATAAAATTATTTCTTTCTTTAACTTACAGATTGAAAAACTTGAGCAGCTTTTAGTGGCTGGTGTAAAATGTAATTTCCAAGTTCAGCATCCAGTTCAACAATATCAGAGGGATTTATTAAAATACTGAATCGATAGACTGCATAACTTTGTTTTGAATCTGTAAAAATACAAACATAAAAATGAGAATAGCTGCACATAGGAATTTTAAGGTTCTACAATATACAGTCACCTTTGCTGAACATACCATTGTAGAACTTGCAATCATCTATAAACTTTTGGAGGCCTCCACTTCTGTCAAGATAGATAAGGGCGGCCTCTTTCATTTTTAGATTTGACATTTTCTCCTACTGAGTCTTCTCTATTACAAATTAATTAAACAACTGCTGGTAAAGAGTACCGATGGTGAAACACACAGAAAAGATGAGAATACCTAGAGATAAAATAAATCAGAATTTACACCTCACGATCTCTAATAAAATCTTACACACTGTTAAAATTGAGAGTGAAATGAAGTAAGGTAAAATTCCCAATTTAAAATTCCTACACAAAAGAAAACAAAGTTTTGCTCTCAATAATATTTTTTATCAACAGTAGGTTATGAGATTCTCCACAAGATTTCAAACTTAAGAACAGGAACCTCAACTGTCTCTTTACAGAGTAGGTGCTCCCAAAAAATGGTTGTTGAAATAAATATTAGATGATGATGTCCCCTTGCAGGGGGTGTTTAAAAAATGAAAGTGGTAAAAGTTGTTACAAAAATTCAACCTAAGTAAAGAGTAGTTAAACTAAAAAATCTGAAAACTTAGTCGTAGATCTAGCATTTTCCTAGTTGCTATGGGGCAATCACCTGGGCTATCTTGGCTCAGTATCTTCATCTGCAGGAAATGAAAGGGTTGTACTAGATGATAAGGCCTCTTCTGGCCTTAAATCTTTTATCAGTAACCAACATAAAATATTAAACCTTGGTAATGAGAATGGAATTTGTAAAATTCATTTAAAGATAGCAATCAGCAATTGGAACAGTATATATCAATAATTGTATTAGGTACTAGGGATAAAATGATTCAGGATTGGATCATGCCATCAAGGAGTTGCCAATTTGGAGAAGTCAGATGACCATCACATCTATTCATCATCAAATATTTATTGGGCATTTAGTATTTATTAGATGCTAGACTGTCATAGGCACTGGGGCTACAAAGATGAGTAAAATATGATTCCTATTGTTCAGAAAGTACACAAAGGGATGATGGACATGTAAAAAACTTACTATAAACTTGCTATAAAAGAAATATTAATGTACTAAGGAGTACAAAAGAAACGATGTATTAAATAGTTCCTAAAACAGCATCGTCCTTGTGTAGGGGTCATAATGTTTTCTATTGGTATAGGACATTTTGATTTAATACAGTGGGTCATAGGGAAAAAACAATGAATTCTACTTTAAAGGTGGCATTTGATAAAGATTTAATTGGAGGAGAGGTGAAGACAGGAGGACTTTTCCAAAGACAGGGGTAACCCCCTGGTACCCTAATTAATAGACCTACACTACTGAATCCATACCCCTACTACTTGGAACTCAGGCCACTTACCAAAGTAAAGTAATTGAGACTGTCCTTTTGCTATTATATAGGGGGAAAAGTTCAGAGTTTCTCAGTGGCCATAAATACAATGATCTTAAAGTATATGTTGTGTTCAGAACATTTCATCTGTGCTTCATCTGAACATAAGGTTTCTGGGGCTGAATGAAGAGAGTCCATTGATAATGAAACGGTTGGGTGAGTCTCAATCAGATTATAACTGTTTGAAGTCCGTTATGATTACACAGGCAAAAAAAAAAAAATCCATCAAAGTTTTTAACAGGGAAAAATATGGTCAGATTTTTGTGTTGGTAATCAATGCCTACTGCTATCGTGGAATATGGGTTGGATAGAGGAAGAGATGATAATCAGTTTCTAGCTACTGATATAGTCCTAAGAGATGTACGGCCCAATCTAGGGCATTAGGAATGAAATGAACTGGAGCAGATGTATTCTAGACTTTTAAAGATTTCATGGCGACCGGCCTGTGAGTTTTCAAAATGGGTATGGATGATGCTGCTCTAACGGAAATATGGGACCCCGAAAAAGAGTAGGAAAATGATAATGCAAAGTTCATTTGAGATGCTCTAATTCTGATGGCTTCTTAGGCCACCCAGATATATATAAGCACTAGGACCACGTAAATCAGGGCCTGGACTTTAGCAGCTTAGGGGAAAAAAAAAAAAAGCTAGAGACAAAGCTCTGGGTATCACCTGTGTAAAGCAGAAGTCCTGGGAGTGGATGCACTTTTTGGAAAGGAAAAGTAGAGACACGACATGGAAGCCAGTGAAAAAGCATTAAATAAACGAACGGGGATAAAATTCTACAAATGTTCTCATACTCCAAAGAACTCAAGGGTTAGTTCGCTTAGAATAGGCAAAGGAGGTCAGGTCTTCTCCCCCTGCCGCGTCAGCAGAAAAACACCTCACAAAGCAGATAAAAACGAATGTGGCCTCACACTCTGGGATCCACGACCTCTCTCACCCACATCAGCAGCCTCCAGTGAGAGGAACCCCTGCCCAGCAGCACATAGAACCCTCTCCTCACGCACCGAGCTGAACCAGGCGAGCGCCACCTGAGGACGAACACACAACGTGAACCTCGTGAACCTCGCGCGCATGCGCTCACCTCTCTGACGTTAGTTGCGCGAGGGCTGCTGGGACCGCCCCCCCCCCCCGCCCCCGCCCAGCCCCCGCAACGCTTAACCAGGGTGATTACTGGGTCATCCTCCACCTCCTTTAATTAAATCACCATGTATCCCTCGCTGCAAGGCAAAAAAGAGGGAGAAAGATAACAAACTTTTGCTAGTTCTTGTTTTAACAACAACCAAGATTTTGAACACAACCAAGGGTGTCCATGGTTGTTTGCTTGTTTGTTTGTTTGTTTGTTTGTTTGTTTGTTTACTGAGAACTCTCCTGCTGGGAATGCAAAATGGTGTAATCAATGTGGAAAACATTCTGGGACTACCTCAAAGGTGGGATTACTATATGATCAAACAAGTCCCTGCCACGTATAATGAGGGGATTTAAAACATACGTTCACATGAAGACTAACACATAAAATGTTCATGGTATTACTCATAATAGCCCAAAAGTGGAAACAAGTGATAAATGGATAAATAAAATGTGGTATATCCCTATAATGGAATGTTATTTGACCTTTAAAAGGAATGGTGTACTAATACATGCTGCAACAGGGATGAGCCTTGAAAACACTATGCAAAGCAAAGCAAGCCAGAAATAAAAGGCCAAGTATTGTATGATTCCGTTTGTATGAAATGTCTAGAATAGGCAAATCTGTACAGAAAGTACATTAGTGTTTGCTTAGACTTGAGGGGAAATGGAGACTGACTGCTAATGGGTATAGGATTTCTATTTATTTAAACAGGTTTTTAAATGTTTATTTATTTATTATGAGAGAGAAAGTGTATTGCCTCCTGGCATAAGCGCCCTCAAGTCGGGGAGGGGCAGAGGGAGAAAGAATCGCACGCCAACTCTGTGCTGTCAGCACACAGTCCAATCAGGGCTCGAACTCACTAACTGTGAGATCATGACCTGAGCTGAAATCAAGAGTTGGACGCTTAACTGACTGAGCCACCCAGGTGCCCCAGATTTTTTTTAATTGTGGTAAAATATACACAACATAAAATAAAATGAAACTCTGTACCTATAAAATAGTAACTCCCTTTACCCACCCCACCACACCTACCACCTTCTATCAGATCTTGACAACCACCATTCTACCTTCTGTGTCCATGAATTTGACTACTCTAGTAGGAACCTCATATAAGTGAGGTCCTTAACTTTTTGTGACTGGCTTATTTCACTTAGCAAAATGTCTTCAAGGTTCATCTATGTTGTAGCATTTCCTAACTTTTCAAGATGGAATAATATTCCATTGTATGTATATATGGCATTTGGTTTATCCAACCATTTAAGATTTCTTTTTGAGGTGATGACAATGTTCTAAAATTGATTGTAGTGTTAGTTGCATGACTCAAAAACCTAAAAGCCAGTGAATTGTACACTTTAAATTGGTGAATTGTATGGTATTGGAACTAAATCTCAATAAAGCTGTTACCAAACAAACAAACTTAAAACTTGTGCTGATTCCTTCCCCATTAGTATTACTATGATAGGAAACAAATATAAAATATAAAAGGATAAAATAGGCAGAAAGAGAAAGGATTAGGACCTGAGGTCTCTGGGTGGGGAAAGACATGTTTTGGAACAATGCTGGGAGTGTTTGACCACAGCAAAACCACTCCTCCTCCCCCAGGCAAGAAGGTTCATCTTAAGAATGTAACAGACACCACCTACTCCTCCTCAGGTTCCCTCAGGAATTTGACAAAAGACAGGACTAAAAATAAGTAGACCACAAAACCTATGACCCACAAGGAACAGTTTGGCCATAGACCACCCCTCATACAATGGAAACGAGCCAATCAGAAATGGACAACCCAGCACCTAGAGTTATACAGCCAATAAGGGTAGAAAGCAACAAGGAACAAGGGGAAAGGGAAGAGGAACAGGAGGGCTGACCACAACCTTATAAAACAACGACCCTTGCCTATAGTCCTTGGGCATTCATTTTTGAATGTCCCCTCTCTATAAAGAGAGCTTTCCTACTATTCTTACTTTCTAATCTTATACTCGAATAAACTTTTGCCTGCTTCTCATTTTGTGTCCACCTCTTCATTCTTTGAATCGGCGAGACAACGAATTCTGGGTATTGAGGAATAAAATCCTGCAACATTACTTGGTACAGTTACCTGTCCTCATGTATTCCATGGTTTGAAGAGGACCTAGGTGGTGGAATAAAAGTAATTGAAGCCATTCTTTTCAATATTTACTAGGGTTGACAAAACACCTCAGAGTTTGTTTTTCTGGGGGAATATAATCTTTGTTAGTGTTGAGGTGATAAAAATGCTTTGCTGGAGCCTAAATCAACTTGTAACAGCAAAAGGATGTTAAAACTTTTGTACAACAATTCTGTGGTTATGGATACTATTTTATTTTTTATTTTATTTTATTTTTTTTAATATATGAAATTTATTGTCAAATTGGTTTCCATACAACACCCAGTGCTCATCCCAAAAGGTGCCCTCCTCAATACCCATCACCCACCCTCCCCTCCCTCCCACCCCCCATCAACCCTCAGTTTATTCTCAGTTTTTAACAGTCTCTTATGCTTTGGCTCTCTCCCACTCTAACCTCTTTTTTTTTTTTCCTTCCCCTCCCCCATGGGTTTCTGTTAAGTTTCTCAGGATCCACATAAGAGTGAAACCATATGGTATCTGTCTTTCTCTGTATGGCTTATTTCACTTAGCATCACACTCTCCAGTTCCATCC